CAAAGATAGTTTCGTGACGACACGGTCGCCAGTAGAATAGAGGAAGATTTATGACAAAAAAAAAAAAGGTACCGCGGTCCATTTGTACGGCTCCTTGCATCTCTGCATTCTCCCATGCACTTCGTCATGAATGCCCGCAAATCTCTCAGCCTTCTCTCGATTCTTTGGTCGACGAATCGGAACGGTCAGTTCGACAAGGGCCAAAGTGGCCTCTTTATCAGGCCCTCGTGATTTGTCAGCCGAACTTCGACGGTGGGAGCATGGTGAAATGTAATAATGGCTCTTGACGGCGCCCTAACCATGTGTTTGTGCGATTTCTTATCGTGTCAGGTCTTTCGCTTCCACCTGCACTTAAGTGCCAATTAACTAAAAATAATATAAAAAGCAACCAAGTGCAGATATGGCAAGTGATTAAATATCTTTAAATTCCGAAAAACATATCGTTTTTATAAGTTATTTTAGCGACTGAAAAAAGAAAAAAAAACGCAAAACAAAAAGCACGCGACCAGACGTAATTATTCCAAATTTTGAAACGTACAACATTTTTTCCAAAACTCTTTTCATATTCGGAACGTAGCGTTACCTCTGCGAATTATAAATTTAATAATATTTGCAATATCAATTTCTACAATTATTGAAATGTGTAAAGATCGATGAAAGCATTTGAATCTTTTTTCAAACATAACACTTTTTCAAACATTCGTTAGTCGCTTTTCCGCATCGCGGATTTATCTATGAAGAGATTGACATTTCGTCGAGAGCAATGAAACGCGATCCTATTCGCTACAGCTGTCAAGATTCGCGTTACAAAGCAATCGAAATGACACGGAAAACGAAATGCAAATTGCTTTTCTTTTCGGTTTGACCGGGCGTGCGGTGTGGCGCGCGATTTATCGAGGAATGCAACTACGATGGCATCTGCAACTTTTCTCATACATACTTTCGCGCATCGCGAATGACACGACGATACATCGCCGACGATACATCTTTCGAGAAATTCGTCTGTCAGTCGATGATTTGGAAATCTGGCGTGAAACACCGTGACGAAGAAGTCGCCGAAAAACTTAACTTACTTCACGTCGCAAAAATTTGTTCAAATTTCCTCAAGACTTTTTAATAACTTGCATTGTTAATTTGTAATAGCATTTGTA